ACAAAATATTCAATAACTAAACAATATCATTTCATTCATCCAACATATGCAGTAATACAATTTTAATATTAATTAAGATACACCGAATTCAAACTTCAAGTGAAATTTATTTTTTCACTGAGGGTGAGGGTGAGGGTGAGGATGTTGATTTTTCCTTCATTTCAAACTCAAACCGCTACCCTCATGCACACCCACGTAGAAAACTTCGAAGTAAGGCATTATTTTTTGTGTTATTATACTCTCATGTAAAATTTATTATATAAAGATAAGAGTATGGCGGTCCTTTTGGTGTTGGAGATGATATTACTTATCTTTTCGTACTCCTTCAAAAGAACAGACAAATATAAATTAGTCTCAAACAATAGCTCGTTATTTTTTTTTGGTTTGCAAATCTTGTAAAACACAATATGCACAACAACCAGAGAGATAGAGAGTTTGTCTTTGAAAATAACCGACGACAAAAATGGTGGCATCATCGTTGGGTTAAAATCATCTGCATGGCTTTTATACTTTTAACAATTTTTGTAGTGACCCTCTCTCTAGTGTTGAAATTCGTCGTTTTTGCACCTACCAAGTCAGAAACCTCTACTACCACTACAACATCACCACTAACATCTACATCAACATCAACACTATCACCGCTAACAACAATGACATTGACTACAGCATCAACAATAACTACCATTACTGCCCAGCAGTCAGGTAAGTTTTAGAAAAACATTTATTAACTTTCGAAAATGCTATTGCTGCATACGATCGAACGTGTATTTATTCTTCTAAATAATGTAATGACAAATAGAAAATCCAAAGTTAATTTATCTATTTGCCATGCATATAATTCATGAAATATGAAGCTTATTGTGCTATCATATTATGCACAATTTCTTGCAACAAGTTCGAGACCTTTTGCAATCTCTAGAAAAATTGAAAAGATTCATGTTACAAAATCTAAAACGTTTTGCTGATTATTACATACTTTTGAGAATTCCATAATACACAATATTTACAAAATGAATATATTTTTGAATATTTTCTTCTAGGATGGTCTAATACTGGCAACATGAGTAGTAAACGAAGTTATCATGTAGAATCTTTTGTTAACAAATGGAAAAGTCTTAGTTGTTGGTGGATATAATCTTGATGATGGTTATCTAAATAGTAGTGAATTGTATGATCCATCAACAGGAACTTGGACAGCTACTGGTAATATGCATATCGACCGATATCATCACACATCATCTGTATTACCAGATGGAAAAGTATTAGTTGCTGGTAGATTTAGACATGGTTCTTGGATAAATAGTAGTGAATTGTATGATCCATTACTAGGTAATCGGTCAGTTACTGGAAGCATGTATTATAAACGAGAGTGGCACACAGCATCGGTTTTAGCAAACGGAACAGTATTAGTTACTGGTGGATACGATGGTAATGCCATTCCAGATAGTGCTGAGTTATATAATCCATCAACAGGCAATTGGACACTTACTGGTTACATGAATGAGCCACGATCCGATCATACAGCATCTGTATTAACAAATGGAAAAGTATTAGTTACTGGTGGATGTTATGGTGATTGTGGAAATAGTACTGAATTGTAGAGGAGCTGCAGAATTCTTACCAAGCAGAATTCAGAATTTTGTAGACTTGCACATATTACATATAAAATGAAGCGTAAACAGAAGAATAACTTCAACATTCACAACTCTCTTTGAAAATCAAAATTCTGTTAAGAATTCAAAACAGCGAACAGAATTTTGATAGAATTCTATTCACAGCAAGATTCAGAATTCTATACAGCAGAATTTAAATAACTCATACGGTAAACTTCTTGTTTAAGGGGGCCCTCCCTCAGAAAATCCAATTTTTCGGAGATGAGTCGAAATTGAAGGTTTATCACAGGAAGATGCACTGAAGTCTCCTCTTTCAGAATATCTATGTTTTATCGAAAAATGAATTGATTTTGACGAACTTATCGTCTAAAACTTTGCTCCTACTATCATATTTTTCGAGAAATTTTCATGGTGTTTTTTCAAGGTTTTTCGACTTTTTAGGCTGCTTTCTCTTTGCATCATCATTTCGTAAAGTTTTTTTTAAATACTAATCACTAAGAGACTATCAACACTTAATATTAAGATCACAAATTTATAGCCCGTCTTGAACATTGATATATAAATCAGGTGATTTTCGGGAAAATCGACTTTTAATACTTATTTTTCGTTTTTCTCAAAATCAATGTTTTCGAGTTTACCGTTTACGCGGGAAGGATTTCTTAATACTGACTCAATAGAGAAGGGATAATTTTTTTTTTGTTGAATAGAGGACAGTTAGGGCTAGATCCTCACAGGCTCCGATTTTTGAATTTCTCATTTGCTGAAATAAAAAACTCAGATATTTCATATTTATTAGCACTTTGAATTTGAACATTTTTCGAAAAAGTATTTTAAAAAATCAAACAAAGGGAAATTCAAAATTCGGGCTCTGTGAGGATCTGGCCTTAAGGGTACTCTACAAGTTAAAAACCGTCCGAGCTTGTTAGCTTGTATCCCTATTGTGAAATCCTTCCCCGCGTAAAGGGTAATGAATTGCCTAGAACTTGTGCATTTCTTTGAGATTTGTGGGAGATATTTTAACCATAAGCTATTCTAGTCAAAACTAACATTCTCTGAAATTTTGGTTGAAATCGGATGAAAAATAACAAAGTTCGTTTCTGAGGGGGGGGGAGGGAGCCTTAAGAGGGGAGGGATAGGGTAATGAGTCTATCAATATATTAATCTCTTATCAAAATCAGAAATCATATATTACTTGAACTCCCGCGATACGTGGTTCGATCTTGCTGAAGATCTCATCGGGTGACTTTCTTTGAATTCGAATTTCAAAGATCAGAAATGCAAATAATACATCCTTCAATGCATTATTTTTCGATTGCGTAGTTATAAAATCTTTGAGCGAACAGATATAAGGATGATGGTGTGTATTTAGTTGTGATCCTCCTGAATCATAGCTACCCACACCCTTATTGTTGCTCTTATGTGAAAGTAACGTTTTGTTGGCATAGATGTTATTTTAGAAGGGAAATATTTATTTGAATTAAAATTTTGTCAGTAAAACGATCGAAACGCGAGAAGAAAGGCTCGATAGCAAGGATTCTCGTAAGTTTTTGCTCTATACTATGAGACAAACTTTCGAATACTGAATATTACAACATCCACAACAAAATCATTTAAACCTTTGTTGAATAAAAATCTGCATAAAAGACAACGCATAATATTTTTTTTTTTATTCATTTGATTCTTTCAAAGTCTTCGATATGCCATTGTGACGATGATAAAAATGTGAACTGAAAGTTGAGATTGATTTCTCTTGAAAGAACATAAAGGTTATTAATACTCTGAAAAGAGTTCCTGCCCTTAGTTTTATTACGTTGAAGGTACTTGAATTTCGACTTGAAAATTTTCATAAAGACGGTTCTTGACGAGAATTGTTTTTGTAAAAGCTCCAATCATCATAATTGTATATTAGGATGGGAGTAACGACTAGTTATGAAATATACACAATAAACCACTCTCGCGAAGACTTGTTTCTGTACAAATTTGCAAGTCAGAATTTGAAAATTAATTTTTCTGTTATCACAGGTATCTGTTTATAATTATCTTCGTCGCGACATGCTAAGAGCACAAATTCTTTTCAGAGTTTTCATAGCTTATTTTAGTCTACACAATGCACATAATCTCATCTCAAAAGCAATTTATTAGTGAGAGAACTTCTCTTGTGAATAGTTGGAATTAATTTTTTTTAAAGCCAAACACACTCTTTAGAAAATGTATTCATTATTTGAAATAACTGAATTTCCATTTATCTACTAAGATTTACGTTCAAATTTTATTGTAATTTTCATCTTTTTTTTTTCAAACATGTCATATCAAAAGAAAAAAACACAAAAAAAAAGTTTATCAAACAAAGAGAATATGTAACAAAAAAAGAAAA